GGATAAAAACATGGTCGTTTTTCCGGTCGGAAATTAAGTGATATGCTGTTGATTAAAATGTGATAAAAGTGAAATATTGGGCGGAATGAGTATTGATGCCCATTTATAGCTTGACACGCGTCACCAAATGGGGATATGGTTAGAGTTGGTAGTACCATGGAAGGTATTAATCCATGGTAGTACCAGTACTAGTATAAGCGGGGAGGGAGTCCAGAGAGGGAACAGCCAGCATCCCTTTTACGGGAAAACGGGAAATCTTGACGGATTTGTTTCGTTCTCACATGTAATATTAGGTTTTGCGGGCTTCTGAATTCAAAAAAGATGACTAAATCAACCAGAAAGCAAGCGTTTAGAGACATACCTATGCAGAAGTTGGTTTGCCAGTACTTAATCCATTTTTAACACCTAGGCTACTCTATTGACATTGGTTGTTTATTTCATGGATTTGGCACTTGAGGTGGCTGTCGATTCGATGCGTCCCAATACGTTCGACTCGCGCACGGACAAAATACTTGAACAATCATTGTTTTCCCTGTTGTTACCATGGTAACCCACCACCATCACAAAGAAAACATTATGGGCCTGAAACGATTGGAAAGAGGGCGCTACACATGTCATCCGCCATACTTGGTTTAGAGAGGTTTTTTTGCCACCTAGCGAATATGACCGCCACGAGTTTTCACCTCAGAGTTGTGAGGGTCAATGAACGTATTTTTTAGCTCGCTATGGCCTTTGAAGATATTGCAAAAATATAAACATTTCCTCGAATTTCACGAATAGACAATTAATTATCGCAATATCCTAGTTAAAATTGGGGTTTGGGTTGAAAGTTTAAACAGAAGATTAATATTTTGAACAATAACATTTCATGCCTTACCGGTCGTATTTTATCTGACACGCTGTGTCATTCTATTGTGATTAATCAATTTATATTGACAAATTATCTTTTCATAACCGTGCGGCTGCCGCGCAAAATGAAGCTTGACACGTTACTATGTATTTACGTATTCAATGTAACATGTGATATGTTATTGAGCGATTTATTTTATTTCTTCAAACAAAAAATGACAATCCATATTCTGGGACGTCTGCAGTAAATCACTGGCGTAGTTTCTCAGATTCAGAAAACCATTCCATATATTCAACGACAGTTCGACGACAACATTCAGAGTTTATAATTCTCCCTTGTATTGCCTATATGTCGGTTGAGTAGTTTTAGTACAGATTATTTGACCATATTTCATCATTCCTACTGAAACATAACATCTGTTTACAGTCTATCTATGATATTCTTACTCGTGAATTGCTTTTTGATAAGTGTAGCTTGGCTTGAGAATTGGGACAATAACGGTTACAGCCTCTAAACCTGCATCAAAGAGAAAACGGAAACTTTGCGTAGCTTAGGCTGACATGATATGGTGCCTAGATCAATTGGTTGAGGGCGCTACTCATGTCATCCAGCCATACTAATACTTGCTTATTATCAGTTATCGCAAAAAGTTATCACGTTGCTTTTATCTTTGTAAAGACGAGAACTTTCATCGCTGCCAGGAGTTATCTTCTCGCAGTTAGTATTGCGACGTGGAATGAGGACCACAGCGGCGACAACATACTATACCCAGTTGACTTTGCATTCGATACGAATCTGAATCGAAACCTAAACACTGTAACATCTGTACATCGGAGGGAACTGATCAGTTAAATCCAATCGATAGGTTATATTTTACGTATTAACACGCGCCGTGTCACTCAATTGTGATTTAATTATTCATATGCACATCACAATACATTCATAATGCACAGATGTCATTTTTTTCTCGATTTCATATTGCGTCTCTATGTGGTAATTGCGGCACATCTATAAACTATTCCAGGGCAAAATATACTTCCATAAGCGAGCGACTGCGCAGAAGGTAGCTTGACGAGTATATGTATGTATATTCACACATGGTAAAATATCATCAAAAACTCACTCGATGTAACTGACCAGTTTAATCCCCTTAACATGCCGTGTTTTTTGCAATAACACGCTTTGTGTCATCTTGTAATGATTAATAAATTGATATCGTTATCACAATAAATCCGAGTACACAGATGTCCATCCTCGTCTGGATCACGTCACGTGTCTATAAGTGTACTAGGGTAATATATACTCTCATAACTTGTACACCGTGCTACTGTGCCCTTGCACAACAATCCTTCCCCTGAAGCTTGACAAGTGTGTGCCTTCTCAGTCTTAAGGTATGTGACTTAAGTTCCAGCAAAAAGACAGCGCGTTGTGGCGCAATGGGGGAAGGCGCGTTGTATCGTGAGGTCGGAACGTCCTTTTTTGAGTGTTTATATGTTCGTAGTGTTCCCGTCAATGTTTGATGAACGCAGTTTTCAGAATAGAATAGTTGTTTCGAATATTTTGGACGTTAGCATATTATTGTTGACAATCGTTGTTTTCAAATTATTATATAGCCATATTGAACAATTAGACAGTTTGACATTATTAACTACGTATTGTTGTAAACCAGACGAAATATGAGTGTATGTAAATGGACATAACTGCGCCATGCACTTTCTTAGCTCAATTTCTCGTCATGCTCGGGGCTTCACCAAGCCACATTCTACGCACTGCCGCCACCGAAATCGCGGTTTGAAATGATGGCAGACAGAGGCCACGCCAAGTTTTGCCTCATATGTAGTCACACCTAGCTTCCTTGATGCTTTCAACAACAAGAGAACTAAGGTTGCCACTGAACGTTGTTTTGCTATTCTCTACCGGCCTTAATGAAATACATTCTTCTTGTCGTTCACTACTGTACAATGCTGTCAATTTCGCGTAAAATTGAGAACGCCGCTTTGCTCGGTGCGTCCAATTTACATGTAACTGAATTTGAAAATCACTGCATGAGTAGCGCCGGTTGTGATTATACAGACATGAAGTATACACTGACAAGGATTTACTCTTATTTCCCTTTATGAGAACAATCCTGTTTTGATTCGACTTCAGCTTTACAAAAATGTAGACACAATTACATATCGTTATATGACCATTTGAGTTATAGTCAATTAACATGAAATGCCAAAGATGCAGTGACAACATGTTTCTATTCCTGTGCCGTTAATTATAATAGCTCGCCTTATGTTTGCTCTATTTACTCGTCAATAATTCAACATATTTTAAAGTACCACATTAAATAATTAATTTGGCATTTTAAATACAATAAAACAATTTCATTTTGATCCGATTGTTTTACAGATTTTTGAGCTTCAGGATGTCATTTGTTGTATTGCGATGCGTGTTAGTCGCCGCGTCATTGACGCTGACCACGTGCAGTGAGGTAATTTCATTATTTACATTCACACGTGTATTAATGTCGTCATTGGTATACAACAATATATGAATACTTTAAACCATTTTATTCATATCTTTGTTCATACAGGATGGACTTTCGAAATGGATTTTCCCTAAACAAACTCGTGAGTTTTACATTTTGTTTACATAACTTTACTGCACGTGATATGAATACCAATTATGTACAATCTATTGTCATGGTAACGGTTTGAGGTGGAAGACAATTCAAAATTCACGCGAATTATAGTCATAAAAATGGAATTTCAATTAAAAAACAAAACATCAACTGACAAACATACGAAAAGTACTGCACAATACAACCATACTAAACGATCGAACACTTCACAAAATAACACGTTCGTTTAACGCAGGACGAGTGAACATAATGCCGCGTCAACAATCATCAAAGTATTTATTTTATAAACGATCGAATTTCCTTCAAGACACTTCTGCGTGTAATATTGGTATAGCTAAATGTATTGTCAATGTCATCTTTACGCAGTCTTTTATTATGTTCACAGGTGCTGAACCAGCTTGTCCTGGTAAGTATGCCAATTTGTCTTTCTGTCTTAACGTGATAGTTTAATTCGCCAGTGTCTGTATATATTTAGAAATATGCTTTTTTGCATTGCAGCAACTGAATATGCTGCTTCAGTCATGACGGAGCAAAACACTGTTATTAATGCAATGTGCCGAGCATCGTGTCAAGATACCGAGACAGAAATATGTGATATGGATATTAATGCCTTACCCTGTGGTACCGCTGACGAGGAATTAGGATGCAAGTCATGTGCTAGAAATAACGGTAAGCTCTTATCACTTAATACACTTGATTCCTACAGCGGTTATCATATATCACTTTTTTGTGGTATTGACTAGAATTGTACAAAACTCAATACAAAACAAAAATTATTACGACTTGATACACCCATTTAACATTAACATTATAATAACTCAACAATCAAAATAACATTTGAATCTACTTGTGACTACAGTCACATTGGCGTTTTTTTGTGAATTTTTTGACAATTCATCTTTCAACTTGGAACTCAATTTGTTTCAGATCTAGAAATCCAGCAAACTTCTGGTTTCGATATATGTAATTGGTTTTGTCGTAAGTTATGTTTATATCATTTTAAGAAACATAGTTACAATGTATTTACTAAATATAATGGTTTTGATAGTATTAAATTTTTTTGATATGACGTACACGTACTGCAAAATCCCAACGCACAATGTACCCAACGTACACACAAGATTCAGCGAACGCACGCGTCTTGAAAAAATCGAACGATCCGTTGACGTGTAATAAAATAAGAGCACACATGTAATCTAGAAATGACGTATTTGACCAATTAATAGTGTTATTTTCAAATTACAGACACCGAATGCAGAAGTTATGGAGGAACGTGTAGATTGCTCAAATGTGACGACAACGAGCGCTTAGGATATATCGGAACCTGTCCACTGCCCTGGCTATGTAAATGTTGCAAACGTAAGAATGTCCAGGATTCACAAGTCTACGTTGTCTCGAATTAGTACAGTTAATTATTCTAACAAATTGCGGTCAATAATATTTGTAACAAGTACAAATTAGTTTATCCACTAGAATGAATTGCGCATTCGCGTTTATTCCACATTAAAAATTATATTGCAAGTATCTCGAATTGTTAAGTAGTTTCGTTTAAATGTATTACCTAAATCATGCAATGAACACATTGCTCTATTACAGCGTCACAGGGATATCCAGGGCCATCAAAGTCTCCTGGTGAACAGGGCGACCCACAATTCCGTACATTCGATGGCTTTCATTTCATGTACAATGGCCACAGTGACTGCGAGTACGTATTCTTTCAAGAGTGTGTACCTCGCCCGTCATTCAGTGTTTTGATCCGTCACCAATATCTCGAAAATGCCATGAAAATGGTCGTTACCGAAGTTTCGATTATCCACAATGGAGACCGTGTTACCTTGATTGAAGACAGGCTTTACGTAAGTAAATTTGCTCTCTCCATTGTTGTGTACACTTATTAGACATATACTATAAACATGGTTGATTCGTTTCCACTAATTAGATAATTGATTGCAACACTAATCAGTAACAGCGCTGCTAAAATCCTACGCAGTGGAACTACTAGTTAACTCGAATGAATTGCCCAAATGTTTTACTGTTAATTATAATTTCTTCAATGTATATATTTAATTTGCATAATTTCCAGTCCGGACACGAGATTAGGCTAATCATTATAATCTTCCAAGATGCACAAGTCTACCTCCGAATTTAAACGGTCCTAACCGTTGAATTTTATCGTAAATCACCGGCTCGTTTGTCACCTTGATTGTTTTTTTTAATTGAAATCCCGGAAAGTTAATTTTTAAAACCGAGTGTTCAAATAAGTGTATATGGTGTCACACTTCCTTTACAACAGACGGGTCATTTTATAACCTTCACGTTTCAAATATTGAACAAGGAGTGTTGCGTCGTAAAATAATAACAAAAATACAAATTCTCATAAAAATGTATAGGATAAATTGTATATGCATTTCTGTATTATTTTATTTGATGAATAATTTGTGGGTTGCAAATGGCAGTTTTTACATTACACTACACTAAAATGCAGTTAACATATTAACTAACTAACTAATTTTGATATAATAGCATTTTAAAATGCAACTTTGAGTACAAATTCTAAAAATAATTCACATTAATTTATATAGGTTAATATATTTTTTAATATACTTCCTTTCTAGATAAATGGCAAAATCCATAACTTATTGTCTCCACTGAAACTCGGAAATCTGACAGTGACACGAGACAATGCAGGATACGTGAGAGCAAAACTAGATTATACATTTACGTTGACATGGAACGGCAAAGGACGCGTTGCTCCTGTTCTGAACCAATCTATTTTCGGAAAAGTGTGTGGCTTGATGGGAAATGCTGACGGAGATCCGTCTAATGATATGCAGGTACCGATGCCTGACGGGAAATTGAAATTAGTGACTGAGTCTGATGATTTTGGAGACAAGTGGATTGTTCCAGGAAGGTAAACACACCATTACTACATTTACTTGTTAAAGTATAGATGCAGGTTCGTGCAGGTTCAGAGCCAAACAATTATTTTTATGCTTACGTCATAATTATTTAGTGTTAGCTACACACTTTAAATTTAAAAGTTCAATCTTGAATAATCCGAGAGTTTGTATAAATTATATTTGAGAATTTTACATTATGGTAGAGTGTCTTTCAGGAAAATCCTGGTTTATTGACTATGGTCTCATTTAACGATGCCCGAAGTGTTAAATACACACAAAAAAACACAAAGAACAAAACATACGTCATATAACCCTATCGACCTTCATTCTTGTCACACAAGTCACCGACATAATGTGAACGTTTTACTGAAAACAAAATCTTACAAGATATTCAAGTTTGTTGTGAAACACATGATGCATAGTAATTCTCACAGCGTGAATTTGACACTTGATTCAGAACGTTTAATGAGTGATAAGTGATACTTAATGTTTCTTAATTATACCACGAGAAACAATCACATTGAAAGATTGTTTTGACCAGCTGCACTGACAGTACACATCGTGTCTCAATTTATTTAAATACAATTTAATTTACTGCACGCATAATTCAACACCTACCACGTGATATATAAATAAAACTTCTAATTAGTGTTTCCATCTTAACACCCATCTTATACCACAATACTTCTGTTGGTAGAAACCATAATTTGGCATATCAACAAATATCTAAATATCAGACAAATTGCAATACATACATCAGTTTGACTACAAGTTAAATCTTTTCAACACATCTATTTTGGGTACTGACTATGGCATGTCTTCGAACAATAACAATTTACTCTGTGTTCTCTTCATAGTTGCAGTATATAATCCGAAAGGTAGACGTTGGTATTCATGAGAACATCTACAATGACATATTCGACGATGGTGACGGGTCTTTCAATTATTCATATGTAAAACACGTTAAATAAGCAGTGTTTACATTATGGATTAGTGGTAATAAAATGCGATTACAGCTAATATGCATTAATCATTGTGTGCGTATGTGTTTAACATGAGATATTGCACTGAATTTAAAGGTTACATGGAAGTTATATCGTTATAGTACAACCAATTTATATTGCTCCACGATGTTTCAAATAAAGTAACCATATCCCCAAATTCCAATTGACACACATATGACCTTTGCCATCCAAGGATAATTTAATATTCAACACCAGCATTCAACATTGAGTATTGGATGAAACTCGATAGGTTAACTGTCCGAGATTGACCCCGGTTTAAAAATTAGCACAAACAGGTGCCAATAAATCGACAACCTAGCAACAAGATGTATTTTTGATGACGTGTAATGTCATAATGTTTATATTTCGAATCCAATGTTTAATGAATGAGAGGTCAATTGGCATGGCTGTGGCCGGCCTTTTAATATGACCCAGTGAGATGATATTGTTTAAAATATAAATCTTAGTGTAAACATTTCATATTTATACCCTACCACTGTGCAGAACTTTTGCGAAGATATTACGAGATGGACCGCTGTCTCGTAACACTTGAGGGCCTGTTTTCATTAATATCGTTTTAGGCTATAGCGAGGTTAAAATGAGTTTATTTAACATGGAAATTCTAACTGCGAAGTGTTATCTCTTCGCCCTCTATTATAAGAGCTACACTAATAACTGATCTAAGCTAAGCCGAGTATGACAGGATGACACGAGTAGCGCCCTCAAACAGTTGATCGAAATACCACATCATGTCAACCTAAGCTATGCAATTATTTAGCTGTTGTGACAGTGTTGGGCAGTGACTTTTTATCAAGGCTGAAGAGGGGGGCGAATATTTTTCTCTTAAAGACTGAGACACATTGTTTTTTACTTTACGCCTTATTTATTGAACACAAAATAAATAAACTGAATATATTAAAATATAATAAAATAAAATATACATATAGAAAGTATTTTGTTAACAGATGTAAAATAATATATATTACAAAAATAAACATGAAATGTCAGTACATGCAAATCTCTTGTGTTTAAAATTTGTGTAATATAATTAAAATAAGTATCCATTATTGCATTAAAACAGTTCTTATTAAAGCGCGGTAGTCGTCGCGTTGTGCATATGCGACATTTGCGTTAATACATATGATTTTTCCGCAATTCAATGCGCTCTTCAAATGGAAATCATATGTAAAAGGGTTGACCTGGGCGCGACTTGCACTGAATACCGCTGGTGACTCCTTTGATACCTTCCAATCATCTAAACATTACCTAATTAGAGCTTGGAATTGTCTCAGTTTGAGACGCAACAATCAAAGTTGCCATCTTTGTTTATATGAGACCCATATATTTCGACGACTATCTCCTTTTAAAGCTGACAATCCATCTACACTGCCACATAAACCACTGGCAACAGACTATCACCAGGAGCAACATCCTCATTGCCACCAACACAAGTGGTATTAGACCAACTACGATCACTAGTGACAATATCATCACTACCACCTACACCACAGCTCCACTGCTGTCACCAGTAACAACATCCTTATTACACCAAAGAAAAGTGGCAGTGGACCCACTACCATCGTTACCACTATCACCTACACCAGACCTGCTGCCACTACATGTAGGCCTACCAAAATCATCACTACCACCTACACTACAGGCATCAGACTCACTGCTATCACCAGTAACAAAATCTTCATTGCCAACAACAAAGGCGGCACCAGACCCACTACCATCGCTAGTATCAACGTCACCACTGTCAACTCCACCAAACGTGCTGCCACTACATGTAGGCCTACCAACCAACATCATCACTACCACCTACACCACAGGCATCAGACATACTGCTACCACCAGTA